GCCTCCCACAGTGCTGGGATTACAGGCTTGAGCCACCGCGCCCGGCCCGAAAAACTGTTTTCAAGCTCATTTGGGTTACTGGCAGGTCTAACTTCTTAAAGTTGTAGAACTGAGGTGCTCATGTGCTTGCAATCTTGGCTGAGGCCATGCTAAGCTACTTGAGCTGTCTCCAGACTGCCTTAGGTGTACCCTTCCATCTTCTAAGCAGTAACGGTGCATCATGATTATGGTGGCTGAGATAGAGGTTATCCACGGTCTTGGTAACATGAACTTCCATTTACCAGGTCCATGTCACTACAGCCACTGCTCACTATTCAATCTGCTAGCAGCAGAGACCAACACTGAGTCCCCAACAAGGAACCGTGTCCCAGAGTGGTCTGTCAGCTTCCAGATAGCACTGTGATTACTTGAATCTGCTTCCACAATTGAAGGGGCATCACTTTGATTTGCTCAAATGGACACTTATTCTGGATATGGATTTTCATTCTCACCCATGGTACTTCAAGAAAACAAACACTGTGGTATTAGGAAAGGCTGTGTCCACCATCATGGTATCCCACACTGTACCAGTTTTAAACAGGAAACTCACTTTACAGGAAATGAAGTATGGCAATAGGCTCATGCTAGCCAATTAGGCTAGTCTTGTGATGTACTTCACCATCCTGAAGTGGCTGGCTCAATAGAACAGTGTAATGATCTTCTAAAGCCTGACTTGTAATTCTAGCTTTGTGGTAGTGCCTTAAGGGTCTTGGCTAACAATCTAGGAGGTGGCAATGCTGTATCCCAGCATCAAGTCTATGAAACTATTTTTCTTTTTTTTTTCTTTTTTTTTTTAAATAAAATTAAAAAAATAATAATCCTTATCACTCAATATAAATGCTAGATCGCTGTCCTGATATATAAGGACTGTAATGTAATGACAACTGCAGTTCAAGAAACCGAAGGCCATTCACCTTCATGTTCTGGATGAAATAAGGAATCACTGATTTTAATAAACTGATCAACTTCAAAAGCCCCCCTCACCCGGAAAGCCTCAGATCTAGAACTGTCAGAGTCAAGTCTCTGCCTGAGAAACTCCTTTCCACGCCACAGAACCTCACCTGTTTGGCGTTCCAGGGTCTGGGTGAACTGGTTAATGGCAGAAGGCACTTTCAGCCACCTACAAAGGATGGCTCTCTGCCGCTGCAACCTGATATAGCGGGGCCATTTCACAAAGCGGGTGAGGTCTCTTTTGGGCTGGATATCTTGTCCTGAGAAGTAAAGGGCGACATCGACTGAGTGAGGCTCAATGGAACTATTTATTGTAGCCACATCTGTGTCTTCAAGAATGAAAGAGGCAAGATGAGGGCCTCCTCTCACTATTACTTCTGGGTATCTAGTAGTAAAATTTTGCTTCTTGCAAACATTTGGCTCTGCTGGACTAGAGATCTTAGTTACAAATTGAGATATTTTTTTTTCAACAGCAGATCCAAAAATCATTCCATTGAAATGAAAGTTGTGTCTGCAAGCTGACCACTTTGGAAAGTTTATTCTCAAACAAGAGACAAAGAAGGGGGTCCGCTAGTGTCTGGGGTGATGGAAAATGACAATCAAAGGGAGATGGGGTTCCTACTACACCAGAGAAAGGGAGATGGGGTTCCTACTACACCAGAGAAAGAGTATATCTTATATGTCTAGAGAGCTTCTTAGTCCTCCCGTGTTTTGCGATTAGAATTAATGGAAATTACAGCAAATGAAAGTTGTGTCTGCAAGCTGACCACTTTGAACTCTTCATTCCTCTCAACCAAGAGACAAAATAGGGGGCCTGCTACTGGCTCAGGTGATGGAAAGAAAAATGGATATTGGGTTCCTACTACACCAGGGGCTAAGGAACAGCATGTCTGATATGTCTAGAGAGCTTCTTAGTACTACTATGTTTTATGATTAGAGTTAATGAAAAATTATAGCAACCCCATCTAGGCAGGACATCTAATGGTTCAGACTCTTCAGTAATGAAGGTTTGAGTCATCCTGCCAGGCCAGACACCATGACCAGCTGACATGCTTTCCCCAGGGCAAAGGGAATGAGAAATGAGTAGTGAAAGAAGGCAGTTATAAATACCAGCTACAACAATGTGGGCCGCTGCAGAAACCACGACGGTAACAGTATTTACCTAATGGGTTAACAATATCTGCCAGCACAGGAGGGAAAACAAATCAATCAACAAACAAGTTATCCTTTCAAATGAAATGCTTAGGGAAAAAGACCAACTTTTACTAACAGAAATATTTTAGCTTCTGGAAGGCCATTTTATTCACCAACACAGGCTAGAAGGCTTCAGCAATATCCTGCTCCATCATAGAAAACAGCAGTCTGATCCTTATTCCTCCTCAGTCATTAATGAGATCATGCATTTGGGGTGTGATGACCCTCCTTTGAAAAGTAGCCAGAAATCATTTCTTCCAGTTTCTTCTCAAGGTGCTGAATTAAATCTCGTCTCACACAACTGAAAAGAAAGAGACATGTCATTAACCAAAAGACAGCCAAAGAACCTATGCTGTAGGAAGCACTGTGGGAGATAGAAGGATGAAGTAACAGTCAGCATAGAGACAGAAATGCATTTGCATGGTAAGAGGTAGTCTAGCCAGGCAATAACAAATGCTGGCGAGGATGTGGAGAAAAGGGAACCTTCATACACTCTTGGGTGGGAATATAAATCACTACAACAACTATGAAGAACAGTTTGGAGGTTCCTCAAAATCCTAAAAATGGAGCTATCATATGATCCAGTAATTCCACTGCTGGGTATACTCCCAAGAGAAAGGAAGACAGTATACCGAAGAGATAACTGCACTCCCGTGTTTGTTGCAGCACCGTCCACAGTAGCCAAGATTTGGAAGCAACCCAAGTGTTCACCAACAGATGACTGGATAAGGAAAATGTGGTACATATACACAGTAGAGTACTGTTCAGCCATAAAAAAGAATGAGATTCAGTCTTGCGCAGCAAAATGGATGGAACTGAAGGTCATTATGTTAAGTGGAATAAGCCAGGCACAAAAAGACAAAACGCATGTTCTCACTTATTGGTGGGAGCAAAAATTTTAAACAACTGAACTAATGGAGATAGAGAGTAGAATGACAGTTACCAGAGGCTGGGAAGGTTAGTGGGGGTGGGGGGAAGTGCAGATGATTAATACGTACAAAAATGGAATGAGTAAGATGTAGTATTTGATAGCATGACAGGGTGACTATAGTCAGTAATAATTTAATTATACATTAAAAAATAACAAGAGTATAATTGGATTATCTGTAACACAAAAGATAAATGCTTGAGGTGATAGATACCCCATTTACTTTGATGTTTATTACACATTGTTGTCTGTATCACAATGTCTCATATACCCCAGAAATATGTGCATCTGCTATGTACCTACACAAATTTCTTAAAAAGAGGTAATCTAGCAAAGACAAAGAGTGTCAATTGAGGGACAATGTCTACCTCAGACTATGGTGAGAATGGAATTCTCCATAGGCTTAAAAGAATGAGTTAGATTCAGACGACATTAACCTAAGTAACTGTGGAGACAGTCATAACTATGAGTGAGGGCCACAGTGAGAAACTCAAGGCAGGGGCCGTTCCCCCACGCTTACCACCAGTACTGTGTTGGGCCCAAGTGCTTAAAGAAATTGGACAGTTCCTATCTCTACCCACCTTGCTGCTTCCTTGATGATGGATTCAAAAAATTGTTTCTTGACTTCTATAGGTCCTTGCACTCCTTCAAGCAATTTGAAGATTTTTTCATAATCTGAAGATGTTAAAAAAACTTCAATATTATCAAACACAAAGAAGAATAGAAATGAATCTTGCTTAACCTATACCTCATTAATCATGCTTCATGGGCTAAAATGTTTTAAATCCTTAAATCAAGATATCTGCACATACAAAACCTAAAAAATAAAAAAAGACACCTGCACCTACCTACGAATGAAAGTCTTGTAAACCATAACCCAGTGAGAAAAGAAAAAAAAAAGGTGTACTATTTTTTAGTCAAAGAAAAGACGAATTATCATAAATTATGGGTAAACTCAACTCTGGCAAGGAATTAGCCTCAACAGATAACATAGATATCTTCTGAATTATAGAAAGGGAGACTTCCTCTAGTTTTTTAAGTAGACAATCTTATACTACTTACTTTGTCCAAAGCATTGAATTTCCTTCACTAACTGATATTTTATATCAGCATTAATTTCTTCTTGGCTTTTTAGAAAAGGGAGTATTTCTCTGCATTTTAGGTCATCTGCAGAGAAATTGCTGGTAACGATGACTCCTACAGGTGCATTTCTACCAGGTTTCTGCATCAGCCCATCTTTGCTGAAGCCAGTGAAGTCATCAGTCCGAGAATCCAATTGGCTGGGTGGAATACTATCTCCTGCCTTAAGCTCTAGTGAAACAAATTTTGACAAAAAGCCATCAGTTGGAGTTTCACCACATTCTTTACCCTCCACATAGACATCATGAATGACAGATCTGGAAACCAAACTGAGAAGTTGAGCTGTGGGATATGTGTCTTTCATCACATCTCTGGGTACATCTATGTGCTCCTCAGTTTCTAGGGAATTATTTATTTCATAAATGGGAGGATATACCAGGGGGAAATCCCAGACCTGACAAATTGAGGCCAGGACACATAAAATGATAAAACCATCTCTTAGTTTCTGGCTCTATAAATACATATGGAAACCAAGTAAGACAGTATAACTCTAACAAATATTCACAGGTCCCTGGTAGTCAACTGTTAGTGTCAGCTTGTTATGCTTTATAAGTTGAAAGCAGCAAGTCTCACTTGATATCATGATTTTTCAAGTTCACATACAACCCACCATGCTTTACTCAGCTGGAAGCCGGAAAACTCGGATACACCTCAACCTGCCTCCTCTCTATATCAAATATATTCTGAGAAAATATAGGCAGCCATTAATGCTGAAAGTTCTATACCCACTCATCACCTAAAATCCCTTTTAGCATATGATCTTCCTCTTTCTTCTTTTCTGCCTCAGAAAAGTGACTTTCCTTTCATTCCAGGTCTGTCATCTCTTTCATTTCTTCATTGTCTGTGGCAGGCAGCATGCCAGGAGCTAGGGATCAGCAGTAAACAGCCCAGAGAGCAACATGGTCTGCCCTTGTGGAGCTCACACACTCAAGGGGCAGTCAGACAGGACATACATAATGAGAAAATGAAAGAAAGCAGCGTTGGACTGGTGTTGGGGAAGCAATCCACAGGCCTGTGGGAGACAGCAGCAGAGGGAGCCCCAGGAGCTGCCGCCGGTTGGGCAGGGCCTTCTGAGGAGGTGCCCTTGGGCAGGGATTGGAGAAAGACAAGAGGCTACCTGTGCAGAGGCAGAGGGGGATTTACAGGCTGCGATGAGTCTAAGGGTATGGGCTGTAGTGAGGATGGACCGGGCACTATGGGGTGAAGGAGATAAGCAGAGAGAGCCAGGAGATGGATGAGACCTGTGTTAGTAGAGGGTGAAGAAGGCCAGGCCATGTAGAGCCTCGCAGACCAAAGCTGGTTTACGGTCTGTTCTGAGTGCTTAGTAGAGTTGAGGATGGATTTTCAGGAGTGACGTGGCGTGATGTCATTTACATGCCAACACGATGACCTGGCTGCAGGATTGGAGGGTGTGTGTTAGATGGGGGCAATAATGGGAGACATGGAGACATCACAGTAGCTCAGTGACTCATCATGGCAGAGTGGAATAGAAGGAGAGAGAAATGTTGGGATTCAGAAAATGTTTACAGTATTTAGAGAAGAGAAGAAAAAGAAAGGTAGAAAAAAAGAATGATAGGGGCTGGAAGTTGTGGCTCATGCCTGTAATCCCAGCACTTTGGGAGGCCGAGATCGGTGGATCACCTGAGGAGAGGAGTTCAAGACAAGTTTGGCCAACATGGTGAGACCCCATATCTACTAATAATACAAAATTTTTCTGATTATGCTGGCAGGCGCCTGTAATCTCAGCTACCCAGGAGGCTGAGGCAGGAGAATCACTTGAACTGGGAGACAGAGTTTGCAGTGAGCCAAGATTGCACTACTGCACTCCAGCCTTGCTGACAAGAGTGAAACTGTCTCAAAAAAA